GCTATCCCGTCGCTCTAGAAGCGCTCGTAGACTCATCGAGACCCCGAGGGCTCATACATCGAACGACGACGGATGATGTGGATGAAGTGAATCGTCGCTGACGCTCGCATCACTTTTGTAGGCAAAGTGCCAGTAGGTCGGGATTGTTAAATTTACTGGCGCGCCACATAGAAAAAGAGAGGGAGAAAATCATGGATCCTATTTTATCATCTTTTTTTGCGCGCGGAGCAGCCTTGGGCATTTCCTGGATTACGTAATCTCGCTAGGTTGATTACGTCATACTGGCGAGGCCAGTAAGACGCCAGCCAATCAGAACGGGGCATGAAACGCCAGTGCTGCGCTGTATGGCCAGCTCTGATTGGACAAAATGATGGATTTCCCAGCGGCTAGATCAAGGCGAGATCAAGGGCTACCCATCAATCCTCATGCGGGGCCAACTCAAGAAGATATCGACGCTGCCGCCCGGCACAGTGTACATGTCCAAGAAGGGGCGCGGGAAGCGCCGTGTCAACCCGGATCGCCAGGACGTGTGCTTCGACTGCGGCAAGCCGGGACGCCACGGACTGATCTGTGAGTATAAGCTCAACCCGGGCAAGTACAAGTACGTCGCCGGCCATCTCTCGACATGCGCCAATGTCATGCCTGTAGGAACGAAGGCCGCAGACAAGGTGGCAACGCGTCGCAAGTGCACCCGCCGCAAGTGGAAGTGACTACCAATGGAGAAGACGCGCCGCAAGCGCAAGCGACTACTCAAGCAGACGCGCCCGGCGCGATACCGTCGTACGTCTTACTCTCAATAGAGCCACTTGTGATGTACTACCTCTTACGTGCTATCTGTAGAATGGACAAAGATGACGGATTTGTTTCCGACTTCCTCACGCGCTCGTGGGAAGAGCGGGAGGCCACGCTGCCGTCTTTGTACAACCTGCGCCCCAAAGAACCTCTCGACCGCAGCAAGTGGCCATCGTGGAAGTACACGCTGCCCGATGTGTCCTTGAACTTTGGCTCACTTCCAGACCCCGACGCCTTGCTCTTCGGCGGCTGTGACGTCCACGTCTGGTGCCCGTTCACTTTCTACTCGCACCTCATCGACGTCGGCAAGTTGTCGTGCCCGGCGTGCGGTAGCCACGATATCACTTCCGACGGATGGTCAAAAAGCTTCCTCCCAATCGTGTCGCTTGGAGGCCAGTGGCCACTGCTTCGCGTGCGTCGGCTGCGCCATCTCGGCTGCAATAAGGCGGCCAAGAACGCTGACTCTACGAGCTTCTCGTCGCTGGACGAGACGCTTGTAGCGTCATGGTACCCGGCTGCCGTGCTCTCGCTGCTGCCTTTCCGGATGGATGGCAAGAGATACGTGTCCCTCGACGCCACGACGTACGCTCGTGAGATGCAGCAAATCGCGTCGTACGATGCTGCAAGTGACGTGCTCGGCGTTGTACGCGACATGTGGCTCCAGCGCCGCCAGAAGGCGCTCTTGGAGCTTGTGGCCATGGAGTGCAAGCGCGACGGCGCGCTTGGCCTTGCGCGCGTTCCCGTCAGGCTCAAGATGCTTGCCAAGCCCAAGGCCACACATGGCCTTAGCGGCAAGGTGCTCAGGCGCATCGGTGTCAATGCCGTCAAGCGCCTCCACGGCTACATCGAGGACGTGATAGCGGCGGCAGGAGGTGAAGTTCTCAAGATCGATCACACATTCAAGGTGGCAAGCGCTGCAAAGGACGCAGACGGCACGAAGCCTTACACGTCTATGTTTACTGTCATGAACCAGGTTGGTTTTTACTCATTTATGTTTGCGCTAGCCCCTTCTGCAACTGGCGCGCTTACCAATACATGAAATAGACTGGGATGGTCATCGGGTTCTACTTCTGCGAGACCAAAAGCTTGAAGGAAATCGAGCCCGAGCTTCAGAAGCTTGCCAAGCGTTTGGCCTCGAAGGGCAAGGTCAAGGTCATCTACACGGACAACCCAGGCGCCGACGAGGCTATCCTCAAGAAGCTCTTTGGTGCCGGCATCCACGTCAAGAAGGACATCTGGCACACGATGGACAAGTACTACAAGGCGCTCTACAAGCACCCGCTCCGGTCGTGGTTCATGGGCGAGCTCTCCAACTGCTTCTTCTCGTACGACGAGAAGGACGTAAAGGAGCTGCGGCGGCATTTACGTGCGTCCTGCCCGGAGTACAGGTAACTACTGATGTTGTCTCGAAACACACGTCAATCATTTATGTGTAGCGATGACGTTCCGCTCGAGGCGCTACCCAAAGACAACCTCCGCCGGTACATTGTCAACCCAAGCGCGATCAAGGAAAACCTACGGGAGCTCATCGACCGATACTCGGACATCAAGGGCCTCTTCAAGAAGAGCATGGACGAGACGCAGGAGAACGCGTTCAAGGACCTCGACGCGGGCTTTCTTCACGACCCCGAAGGCGTCAAGATGTACTACAACATCGGCACGAAGGAAAAACCGCGGTATGCTTGCTGCACTACTGTTTGCACAGAAACTAACCTTGATATGAAGCTACGTAACAGTGCGCTCTACCAGCCAGCTCGAGAACCTCCACCGCGTGCTACGGAACTGCGTTCATGGTGCTCGTCTGAGCCTCACAACGATGCATTCCATAATCATGGATCGCATCTTTCGATGGAACCTGATGAAACACAAGAGACACGCCACGTACGATGGCCCAAGGCTCCTCGACCCAAACCTCGTGATGCAGATCAAGGCACTGCTTCACGAGCTTCCACCAACGTGTCGACCGACGTGGGCCGACAGGTACAACGCAAATATACGCCAATTATCGATGTTACGGCCGCTTTTGTAGCTTGCCTACAATGACCCTCAACACTGGCGACGAAACGTTTGGTGTGCTTCGTGAAGAGACTGCGTCGGCGGCGTTGCACGCCATCAAGGCGGCCGGGATTGTTCCGAAAGGAAAGTCATTCGAGGTCAAGCGTACCCGCATTCCGGAGGTCGCCCGCAAGGTCAAGACCGAAAGCGAGAAGCGTCTGTTCAAGTACCTCATGCCCCGCTGCCATCGGGATGACGACGACTACGCAACGCCGGCCGACAACTGGAACCGGCTCCTGGTCTCGTGGTGGCTAAGACAAAGTGCAGCTCGAGCCGGAAGTCGTCATCACGGTAACGTGTCTGCTCATGGATGCACACGTGTAATTGATGCTTTTCTGTGCTTCCAGGTGGCTGACGTGGCGCTCAAGCGCGCAACCTACATGGAGCAGTACGCCAAGCAGCTGATTGCAGGTCAAGAGGCCAACGAGGCATGTGGCGCGGACCGAGAGGCTCAAGAGGCCTTCAAGTCAAAGCGCACACCAATGAAAGTGTCAAGCACGGCCGCGACTCGTCCAATCGAGCACCGTGTGGACGAACCGGTTGACGACTACGATCAAGTCCTCAACCAAGTGGCCCCCGTCCATGCTCCGCGGGCAGAATCCTACTCTGTCCCGCGAGGCGAGTTGAAGGATCCTTCCGCTCCTCCGCCAACGAAGAAAAGAAAAATCCTACCGTGCCCGCACTGCGGCTACAAGAACCGTCGCCATGACAATGCCAGTGCTGCGTCGTGTGCCCTCCACCAGTTCTACAAGAAGGGCAATTTCATCAAAAGCTCGGGTGTGACGGCATATGATCGAGCGATTGCCGCGTTCCGTTTGGAGCAACTCCGTAGCGACGAATAACGCAATGAATTCATGTCATATTGGATATTGATAATACCGTCTTCAGCATTGATCTGTGTTGCGGCACCTTACGACGCTGGCGGCACGTCGCGACGGCGGTAGGTAAGAGCATCACGTGGCTTGGCGCTCGCAGCGCATCATAAGCTTGACGCGGGGTCGGCGCACAGGCGCATCCCAACTGCCGACTTCAGAGCGCCACGGGCACACGTCCGGAGCGGCGGCGGCATGAGTGGCCGGCGCAGCGCCAGTCGCGCGGCCTGGAGCGCCCCGACGCAATAGAATGCAGTGCAGTCCCCTTTGCCACCCTATAGCCAAGGTCCGTATTTGATTTCACAGGATATAAAGTCTCAATAGAGCATCCGCCAGTAAACGTTAAGGGCCCAATCAAACGGCACTTCGCCCTTTTGTATACTACGTATTGTGATAATCAGCGTTTTTGGCGGATTTGAGCCTAATCTGAGCTGTTTATTCGCCCATCCGGACGAATTATCAGGGCGGATGGACGAATTATTCGTCCGGATAGCGTGAGTCACGACGATTTACAGATCCGGATCACGAGGGGAGGACGAATTACGGCCCCTGCAGGGCCTTCCGGGCCGGTTAAAAGGACACGTTACCGGAATAAGGGACGATTGGCGGGTACAGATCCGCCAAACGTCGACTAAGCGCTGCTATTCGTCGTGTCATTTTCCTAATCTGCGGTCGCGCCGCGATGGCATGGGACAAGCAGGTACGGTGGCGTTGCATTGTTTTGTACTTTGTGTATTGCATTGAAATTGAGATGATTGGCATTCTGCTGGGTCCCGGCGTGCGCACTATCGAAAGATACATCAAGCAATTCACAACGCTTGGGCACGTGAGTCTTAAGCAGAAAAGTAAGACCACCGTCCCGTGGCCTCCCGAGGTCATCGAGTTCGTCGACGCGTACGCGCAAGACAATCCATGTTTTTACATCGAGGAGCTACAGGGGGCACTCCAGACCACGTTTGTGGGTCTCAAGCCTTGCTCTGCAGCAACTATCTGTCGTGTATTGCGCTTCCATCTGAACCTCTCACGCAAGGTGTTGGAAAAGCGAGCTAAAGAAAGCAGTGCATTTGAGATAGAGATGTTTTACCGTCGTCTCTATCCATTCTATAGCCACCCTAGCCAGCTTGTCTTTGTCGATGAAACCTCGAAAGATGGACGCGATGCGATGCGTCGCTACGCGTGGTCGCGGCGCGGGACTCCAGCTATTGTCAGCCTCCCCTTCAAGCGCGGACAACGGATTTCCATCGTCGCCGCCTTTGACGTTACCGGCTTCTTTGCCTGGAAACACACGACCGGAACTTTCGACCGTGCCGCGTTCCACGAAGGGGTCGTCCATTTGGCGCGCGAGGTGAGTGGCGTGGTAGCGGAGCTGAGCCGGACCCGGCACGTCCTCGGGTGCGCGGGGAACGTCCATAATCTACATCGAGGGCATGTCATTCCATCCAATCACATATTGATTGATACGAAAGGCAATACCCGCGCAGCAAGTCGCGCAGCGACTTCGCGGATCCGATTCTCGGTCGCACGACGAATCTGCTGAGCTCGTGTCTCGCTCTTCTCGACGTATACATAGAGCTGAAAGGTCGTGTCGCCTACGACGTCAAAAAAGAATCGGCGGAGTAGCGCGCGCGTACCGTTGGCGCGGGCGAGCAATGAGTTCCACATGCTGTTGATCGTTGAGGCGTACGTGTCGGGCGTGATCCCAACGTACGTGCTTTGGCGGTCGTTCGCGCCGACCTTGGCGTACAAGACCATGTTCGGGGACCTCGACAGAGTTACCGTTCTCGTCGCCGTCGTTCTAGCCCTGCCGTATTCGGTCATGATCGTGTCGGTCATGACGCCTACGCGCTGCAGTAGCACGCCACAGCCTTCGGTGTATGCATGGACGAACTCATGCGTGTCGGCAGTGGAGCGACCGGTCAGCGCGGCACCGACCTTGACCGTCAAGTTGCAGCTCAGGTGCGTGGGGAGCTCGACCGTCCGTTGCGCTCGAGTCATCCAATCGACACTTGACAGCAGGGCCAACGAATTATTTTGAAATATGCACTGCCTTCGCCAATGTTTTCGGCCCTTTTATTTTTATTCAAGTAAGGGACTGATCAATACATTTTTCATGTTATCCCGTCCTGAATTGATTTATATTACGCTAGGACGTTTTAGCCGTTCGGCGATACGTATCCGGACGAATTAGCGGTCGTCCTCCAAACGAATTATTCGTCCGGTAGCATCCGGTAGAAAACAACGTCAACGAATTAGACCCCATTTTGGGGCGACAAAAATGCTGATTATCACAATAAACGCAATCGTATGCGAACATTTATCTGTCTATCTATCTATCTATCTATCTATCTATCTATCTATCTATATATCTATCTATCTATCTATCTATCTATCTATCTATCTATCTATCTATCTATCT